CGGCGGCAGTAGCGGTGTCAGTGCAGGCGGCAGCGACGGCGGCGTTGGCAGTGGCAGTGGCACTCTGGGTAATAGGACGCTGTCGTGGGCCTTACGCACAGCGCCAGCGGGGTGGGATTCCGGGTTTTCCCATACGGGATCCTTTCCCGACGGCCGCACCCGCCGCCGCCGCCGCCACGGTGGCGGCGGCGGCGGCAGGGTCGCCGCCGGCACCGGCATCGAGGGTGGCGCCGAAACCTTGGAAGTAAACAGCGGCGCTCCCGTCGGCCGTACGGCAGATAGGCGCATGGGACGAGCTGCTGCTGCTGCGGCTGCTGGCGCGGAGGCTGCGTTACCCAGACCCGAGTTCACGTTCGGCGAACCTAGGTCCTTGTGTTCCCGGAGGCGCTCGTCCATGGCCGTTGTGGTAAGAACCGTTAGGGGTAACGGCCACGTGATAGTAATGGCAGTTAGAATCGTTGATTACGACGTGGAAGTTCATCTTGCACAGCCTTAGTAAAATTCCCTCTCCTTCAGGACGTTTCTTTCCTCACTCTTAACCCTAAAACCTCAAAGCCATAATTCCCTAAAACCCTAAAACCCTAAAATCCTAACATTCACACCGCAGGTTGCTGCCGGGGCTGGGTCAGACACCAGCAACGCAACAGCAACGGCGCCACCAGCCGTACATGTGCAGTACGATAACTTCCCCGGTGTGTGAACACCCATATCCGCCGCTGACACCACTCGTTCGGCGGCGCTGCCGTACATCTCCATCACCTCAAGTACGTCGCCATGAGTACGACATCGTCGCCGATCCCGTCGCCGATCCCGTTGCCGTCGGCTGCGACGGCGGCGACGCTGGCGTCGTCAGAGTCCCCCCGACCTCGGAGACCGTCAGCATGGCCGTGGGCTTTCCAGGGGGATCGCGAGGGCGACGGGGGAGCAAAGGAATGCCGCCAACACGGTACGGCAACGCCGCATCCCCCGCCGCCGCTGACAACTCCCGCCACCGCTGCCGCCCTTTCCATTCCTTCCGGCGGCGGAGCGTTCACCCCATCGGCTCCGTCGTTAAGAGATTAACGTTTCTGGTTAGGCTGTTGGGAGTTAAGAGATTAACTGACCTAACTGCCGTGAGTGCACAGCGTGCACCTGCAGGCTTTGTGACGGCGGGGCGGTTGAAGACGAGATGCATGTTTTTGCGGAATGCCCGGTGTACAATAGCACACGGGCAAAGTACGATCGTGACCTCGCGTTTCAAGCGCATGATTATGACCGAGGCCCCACCCCTGGTGCACTAGCCAGGTTCCGCTCGGAAGTCTGGGAGGCCCGGCATGTTGCTTTAAGGCGCTTCATGCTCAATCGGATGAGGGAGGACGATGATGATCCACCATGTAACCACACTAAAACGATTTACTAACGATGAGAATGGAGGCGTCAGACTGGCACTCTTTACCTCGAAACCTCATAGTCAAACCCTTAGAAACGGAGAAAGGCGAAGGAGGTAGCGACGTCAGCATCAGGAGCAGATACCGGAGGGTCGTACCAGAACTAGACAGGACCAGTTACCCAGCAGAGCGTCGCTTCCTTATCGCAGCAACAACATCGAACAGCGTGGTACGTATGAAAACCACCTGATGTTGAATGCGGTGCGATGCTCTTGCAGTTCAAGTGCAGTGCAACAGATACTCTCACTAGCACGAGCAGGAGGCGGATGAATGAAAACGTAATGTTAGGCACAGCTGGTAGGCAGAAAGCTGTGCAGAGTCGAACTAAATTTGGGGCACATAGCTGATCAGAGAGAAGGGACAAACGGATCCCAAGTGAAGCGCGGACCAGTCAAACACTGAAGCTGCTCGAATTCGGAAGTGCAAAGTGTGCGAGTCGAAGGGATGAGTGCAGAAATTCGTCCTTGTGTTACAAGATTGACGAGGCTTGGCAATTAGAGCAGCAAAGACAGCAGCATCCTGATGCATGAGTTGCACTAATGACAAAGTCTGCATAAGCCAAGCAAACTTGCCACTTGCCGAGGTGCTGCTCACACACACACAAACGAAAGTCCTCCCTACCCGCGATATGACCCATTGTGCAAATGCTCTGCAGGAAGTCCCCGCCTCCTCAATCAAGTCATGAACCTATCCGATAAATAAGCGGGTATCGTTCACATGGCCAATCGCCATGTGAGACGCAAAACCCAAATACATGGCAAAAGCAAACAGTTGGCAAGCCTGCCATAATGAAGCGTCCTCTTGTGCCGCTGACAAACACAGCTTGGCTATTGGCGCGGGCTCCACAATACTCCACTGGAGACCCTGCATATGTACAGATGAACCGGTTAAATATGCCAATTCCAACGACTAACGGATGGATTTGGGCGCGAACGGCAGTTTACCCCCCAAGCTTGCGGCCCAGACTTACCGTGCACAATACTGTGCTAAGGCGCCTCACGTACGTCGCAGCCTCGTTAGAGCTGAGGCCGCGCACTCGTGCAGCTTTCAAACAGAAAGCCTGCGGAAGTGGAGACCCTGCATAAGAACAGACGAAACGGTTAAATATGCCAATTCCAACGACTAACGGTTGCATTTGAGCGCGAACGGCAGTTTACCCCCCAAGCTTGCGGCCCAGACTTACCGTGCACGATACTGTGCTAAGGCGCCTCACGTACGTCGCAGCCTCGTTAGAGCTGAGGCCGCGCACTCGTGTAGCTTTTTAACAGAAAGCCTGAGGAAGTGGAGACCCTGCATAAGAACAGATAAAACGGTTGAATATGCCAATTCCAACGACTAACGGATGGATTTGAGCGCGAACGGCAGTTTACCCCCCAAGCTTGCGGCCCAGACTTACCGTGCACAACACTGTGCTAAGGCGCCTCACGTACGTCGCAGCCTCGTTAGAGCTGAGGCCGCGCACTCGTGCAGCTTTCAAACAGAAAGCCTGAGGAAGTGGAGACCCTGCATAAGAACAGATAAAACGGTTAAATATGCCAATTCCAACGACTAACGGATGGATTTGAGCGCGAACGGCAGTTTACCCCCCAAGCTTGCGGCCCAGACTTACCGTGCACGATACTGTGCTAAGGCGCCTCACGTACGTCGCAGCCTCGTGCAAAGCTTCACGCCAGGCAACCGCTAAAACAAAATCGGTCCATTCCAAACCCCGAATCGCATCAGGTCAAATAGCAACGGTCCATGCAAACCCACCGAACCACATTGCGGCAGGCAACCCCCCAGATAGCAACGGTCCATGCAAACCCCCCGAACCACATTATGTCAGTCACCCCCCAATTAGCATAG